AAAGGCTGGCTCAGTCATCTTTGAAATCTCTTCTAAAAACACAGTTTATAGCTTGTACACGTTTCCTTTTTGTTTTTCCTTGATTTTACCCAACTCGACCACCGGTTTTATTCTGATCCAGTTAATTACCTTTCATTACTTTGTCTTTACTTTGTACTTTTTCCATTATCTGTTTTCATTCGTGAAGCACTTTGTAACCTGCTTTGTTTAAAGTCATCTACAAATAAATATTCTCATTATTGTGCTTTTCCCCTCCTTTCTTCTCCTCTTATTTAGTTAGCTATCTTCTGTGCTCCATATCTCCTTTCTTCTGCTTTCAAGGTAGACAGGATGCTAAACCCGAGATGAGCCATGCTCTGCTGTGCTGTTGTGTGTGTTTCAGTTTGTGTGGAGCTTTAGCTTGTGTATATTTTTGTGTGTGTATGTGTATGTGTATGTGTATGTGTATGTGTATGTGTGTGTGTGTGTGTGTGTGTGTGTGTGTGTGTGTGTGTGTGTGTGTTTGTTTGTGTTTGTGAGCCTCACCTCAGACACTGTATGGCAAGGTGTTCACAGGTTTCATCAAATCCGCGAGCATGTGAGCTCACACACATAATGTACACGTACACACACGTCAATTAAATCCTTGTCCTGGTCCTGAAAACATGACTTCCTCCACACACACACAGTGCCAGACAGCATTCTCACATCCCTCGTTATGCCTGGCGATAACCAACCACCCACTGACTCCCTGCTGCACCAGATAGGAAAGCTTATTAAGACTACACTCACTCAACTCACACCGCACACCGTCAGAGTTGTTGTCACAATTGCAGAAAACAAAGCTCTGCTAATGCTGAGAACGGGGAGCGAAGACATGATTTCTTGAAAGATTTCTCGAGAAAAGGCCGTCGTGACACTGTTTGGTCTGCAGAGAGACGAAATGTTTTGCTCGTGGCTGCAGAGATCTGATGCGTTCTGGGAGGAAAATGATGTGTAGTAGTTAAGTTTAGTGTAATAGAGTGAGCTCTTTTGCTCTCTCTGGCCCTGCCCCTCCCTCCCTGGAGGGCTAATTGCACAGGTCAGATTGGTGACATCACCGCACTGGCTAGCTCTGATCTCCATGTTACATATAGAGCCTCATTAGAGCACGGCTAACCGAGCGCATGCACGTCGTCCCCCCTCTCCTGTGGTAATGAGAATGACAGTAGCTGTAGTAATTATAGTCAGTCCAGTTTTCTTAACAGCCGCTTGCTTTGCAGCGAGTTTTCAGAGCGACTGGCTGGCTGCTTTTTGTCCAAATCAGGGTGTTGATTTTGCAAATCACAGTAGTTATCATCTATTATGGCTGACTTTGGCTTTTCACTGGAGATTCAGGCAAATGGAGAGATGAATCTAAGAAGCAGATGAACAAATTTGTTTCAAAACAGCTTTCTTAGAAAATGATGATGATAACAAAACTGTAAAATTGTATTTTCTTTCAGCATTTCCTTGTGAATTCATATTATTCTGCATTTTAAAAAGAAGATAAATATACTACTCCCCAATATACTTTATAGTGACAAATGTACTGGCAGGAACTGTCGTTCCCAGTCCAGCATCGTCTCCTCTCAGAACCCGGGGCCTGCAGAGGGGACGCTAAGGCGACGACGGGAGCGTCGGGCTAATGATGACAGCGACACAGTAATAATGGTTCCCAGTAGCTCCAGTGACAGTGGGGAGTGTATTAAATGGGACACCAGAGCAGCCCGACTCACTCGGACCCCCTACTTCTCCCTAATGAGAGTTTGATGGAGTGGTTGTGTAGGTAGATAATGCTAAGTTAATGAGATGTCCTATTCCATGAGACTGTTTGCAGTTCCCCACAGAGTTCCTGTGTGTGTGTCGCCTGCGTTGATGTATATAGCTGTCTACTTGAGTGTGTGTGGCTTCTTACCTGCGTTTGTGTGCAATATAAGGGGTTTCCAGATTGTGAGCGTGTCTGCCTGTCTGAGTTACTTCATTTTGTTTTTTGTAGGTGGGTGTGTGTGTGTGTGTTTGTGTGCCCATATGTGTGCGTACAGTAAAGTTCTGTCGTTTATTCTTTTTCCATCCAGCAGCCATCTGGCACTCAACAGGAAATTAACTGTCAGATTTCTGAAAGAGTGACAGAGCAGAAACTGTCCTAGGAAGGGACGGAATTAATAAACGAAACAAAGAACAGAGAGCAAGTAATACAAAAAGAAGAAAGAAATAGGCAGAGAGAGAGAGAAAGGGAAAGCAATGAGATGTCGTTAACAAACAGTTGGCTCGCCGCAATGGGAGAAGATGGGAGTTTTGGCGATGAAGAAGGGATAAGATAATGGGAGAGGGAGGGGGATAACCACCTCCCTCATGGCAGGTACATGTCTCTAATTGGGATTCCCACTCCCATTCTTCGTCTCCCCCCTTCTTTCTCCTTCCATCTCTTCTCAGACAATGCAGTGAGAAAAAGAGGCTTCCCTAATTAATGCAGATATAATGATGGGTCCAACTGTGGACCTCTGCCCCCTCAGAATGTTGATTAAGGTGCTCTGTGTGTCTGTGTGTGTGTGTGTGTGTGTGTGTCTGAAGGTGGGGCTTATCTCCCAGGCAGCTCAGCTAGATAAACCTGGGATTTTGGATAATCATATATTTATGTGTAATATAATTATATGTCTATTGATGCATACTAAGATTAAAAGTGCTGAAATTCCTTTCATACAATACTGAATTCTATATGCTTATCACTGAGGTAATTGGTAGTCTGCTTTTAGCTCCCGCATAATGTGGGAGTACTTAGAGAATCAAAAAATAGTTCCAAGAAAGAAATGTGCAGAAAAATAACGCTGCGGCAGCGCCCACACTCTTCCTGTGGCAAGTGATCTCTAGGAAGTCAGGTGGAAAGACATTAGCACCGGTGACATCACCTGAAGGAAAAATAAAGATAAAGTGGGGATGTTGCACACGACAGATTTAAACTTCCTAAAATGGCTCAGAGATCAGCGTGAAACTGTGTGGATTCCACACCCCACCAGTGGTGGCTGCGGAGGTCTAGAGGAGCTATGTCAAGTCCTCCCTGGTGATGATGATGATGAAGGTTATTTCTGTTTGGGATTAAAGTTCCCATGAAACAGAGCGCTGTTTGCTTCCTCATATTTATGTAAAAACAGGCAACTAGGGAAGCACTTGTTGTGGATACTAATCGGCGTTTTCAGTAGCCAGTAGTGGCGAGTTTGTGTTACGCCCCTACTGCTGCACAGGTAGCGCTACACCAAACACCAAAATACCTAAAAAATGACTTACTTTGTTGTTGTTGGGCTGAATACTGGCGTAGACATACGCAATAACACCACAAAAATCTATTTTGACCTCATGGGAACGTACCAACTCAGCTCAGGTTAAAGATGAGAGGGGCTGGAGTTAGGTGAGGTGACTCTTACTACTAATAAGAATAATATAGATGTAATTAATTTGTCTGTACACACCCACACAGATTGAGTTGCATCTTGGGAAGTGAAGCATCATGTTTTGGGAGTTTGATCCACGCGGGGGACTTAAAGTTCTTCTACTCAGATTTTGAACTTGTTTGGAACAGCAATATTAAATGATCAGAACATCGGCACTGAAGTCAGTACTGTAGAAAAAACTGTGTGTGTGGACCATGAATGCTCAGGAGCTTTAAATAAAATTCCTTAGTATATAGAACTGCTTGAATGGGACCACAGAGCCTAAACATAGGACATACAAACATAAAGGGACTGTATTAAAAGAAGATCCTTTGATTGGTCACCTCTCTGTGCCTTCTCCACAGCAAAAAGCAAGCAAGGTGCATATCCGCCTTGCTGTTGGCAACGTTAACACACACGAGTAGAAGTGAAGTGGGTTAGATTAGCTAAAAAACAACACTAATTGCTCTGCAGGATGGTGCCAGGCTGCCGTGGCATCCCTGTACAGGTTTCGCGGCGCCGTCCGATGCCGCACGCGCCCGCTCTCGGCCGGGGCCAGCAGGGTTACCATTCAGGCCACGTATCCGCCTGTAGCTGTAATGAGAAGTGCCTTCGCTGTTAATGAGATAAACACAGACATTAGATTGGCTCAGCAGGAGCGCAGAGGAAAGGAGAGGGCGAGAGGAGAAAAAGAGAAGTAGGTTGGCGAGTGAGACACAGAGAGAGAGAGAGAGAGAGAGAGGAGAGGTGGGCATGGTGAGAAAGACGATGTGAAGGAGAGATAAAAGAATATGAAATATTTAAGAGAAAAGGATAGGCTAATTTCTTGAAAGTGCGAAGCAGAGCTTCATTATAACTCGAAACAGAAGTGACAAGTACATTTTGCCTGTAAAAAGACTGAATGATAATGATGATGATGGTCGTAATGGCAAAGTTGATAAGAAAAACATAACACACCGCGGTATAAGAGCTATTTTATTGGACAAAATGCTGAAATATTCATGCTCCATATGCTGCCCTGTCCACGTGCCCCCCACACACACACACACACACACACACACACACACACACACACACACACACACACACACTCACGCTGTGGATTGCCAGTGCCTGCTGTGACATTATAACCATATCTATCATTAAGCAGTCTTTTCCCAGGCGAAGCCACTAATGAACGCACTGGAGTAGGAATGAGTTTGCCTAGCAGCGCGCATGTGTGTGTCAACATTTGGAAACGTGATGCAAGGTGGAGTGCGTGTGTGGCGTTTTGCGTGTTGTGCGAGTTAAAGAGCCTCTTTCATCAACTCGTGCGAGCTCTGTTGCCTGAGCGGTTTATTGTTTCATCATAAAAGTCTCCAAAAAGATCCTATTAGAGCACATCAACCTTCCCTCCAAAATGAAAGTGCGTTTGGCAGCCTGCAGATTCATTTACCTGCTGTTTTAAAATGATAAAAGTGAACAGGAAGTTGCACAAAACACAATCCGTTTCCATTATCACAGAATCATTCAGGTCATTTAAAACTCACCTTTATGCCTTTGTGTCCCTTTTTTTTTTTTTTTTTTTTGGTCCAGGTTTGGTAAGAAGAAAGATGACAAGAGCAAAGATGCTGCCAAAGCCTCCAAAAACAAACTGGAGGCCTTAAGTGAAGAGGAGCTGGACAGGATTCCTGACAACAGAGACGGGTATGAACCAGACGTGGGCGGAACACGCCTCTGTGTTGGTTTTTCACAGTTTAGAGTGTCAAAAGAGAGATTTACAGCCAGAAAGTTCACACAATCATAGAAGAGTGTTTGCCGGTGTATTAAAGTGTTGTGATTGTCACCTTACCTGACAAGTTGTGAATCATCCTCGTGCAGCAACAGGGGCCCTCCTGGCCCTCCCAAAACAGCTGCCTATCATATCGCCACAATCATAGAACAGATGAAGATTGTATTGTCCCCGTGTCTAACTGCCTCTTCCCCTCCCGTCTCACAGCTACGATCCGCGCTACGCCGATACCCGCTCCGGCCACGTCACCCCAGCCTCCCTCCCCGACATGGACGACGACGACAGCGACCCCAACTACGCCCGCATCAACAACTTCCGCCAGCAGCAGCAGCCGTCGCCGCCGTCATACATCAGTCGCACTCCCTCCCCCGCAGCGCTGATAGGGGGTCCTAACCTGCCACAGGCCTACTCCGAGGAGCTGGATGGGCTATACGCCAAGGTCAACAAGCACAGACCCCCGCCCCAGCATCAAACACCGGCAGACGGGTGAGAGGGGAGGGAGGGGCTTGATTATATATATATATATATATATATATATATATATACTTACAAGAACCCAACTTCTGCTGGCTCTCTCTTAAGTTTTAGTATTCTTATGATACATAATGTGTTTGCAGTTGTGGTAGTGTGTGTGTGTGTGTGTGTGTGTGTGTGTGTGTGTGTGTGTGTGTGTGTGTGTGTTTTTGTTTTTTGTGTGTTGGTGTGTGTGTAGGTGTGTGTGTGTGTGTGTGTAGGTGTGTGTGTGTGTAGGTGTGCGCACACAAGGTCACAGACCGCGGCTTGACCAGCATGAGTGAGGGAGTATTTGCACATCTCTACATTCATGGTCTGCCAAGCCGGAGGATGCATAAAACATGAGCGCGTTCTTACACTGTAGTTACACTCTCTTGTTTGCACACACACACACACACACACTTATACAATAATGCCATGCATGATTTATGTAACTCTTCTGTTTTGTTTGCGATCACTTTGACCTTTGTAAATCTTTAAAATCTCTGAAAGCGCGGTGATTATTTCTACTTGATAATTACATTTTTTCATAATATTCATAGCAGAACTTGGAAGTGATGTGCACAAAAAGTTTGTCTGAGGTCAGTTTTGATGCCAAGCATAAAATATTAAGAAACATTCATGTTTTGCATGTTTTGCCTTCCTTTTTAAGAATTCGCTATGGACTCAGCTAGGAGTCCCACTCTATGGTTAATGCTCTACAAATAGTACATCCTCTCTCCCTGCGTCTCATTCTCTCACCCACACCCCTACTGACATGCACATACATACACACACACACACACACACACACACACACACGTCCTTGTCTGCTCACGCTTGGCACTATAATGTGTTCTAGGCAGAGGCAATCACTGGTGGCTGGCTCTCAATACACATATGAATGCAAAATGAATCCGACGGAAATTACTCGCCGCAGTCTGAGGTGTTCATGGATGCCGTACGATGAGCAATAAGAATGAATGCATACGCAGGGATGTTAAAAGGGGCGAGGGCAGGGACACATTTTTGTTGTGTTTGCTCTGTACACACTGGTTTTACAGTGATAGAATGACTATGAGGGTAGGAAGTGCTAACTCTCAGCTTTAATTTAAAGGACCAGTGTGGAGGATTTAGTGGCTTCTAGCAGTTTAGTTGCAGATTGCAACCCCCTCGCCTTATCAGGGCGCAAATTGGTATTGGCGTTACCTTGTCTATATTTATGACATCATTGCCTTGCTGCATGATTCTGCACTGTCGACCTACTGCGGATGTAAACACCCTGAAAGCTATGAATTGGCATTGTTGAATTTTAAATTGAATATATTGATGAAGTTTTCCCACATGCCCTTCAAAATTATACCTATGCTGAACATATAACATATTATTTCTCATATAAAAACACATGAATAGACCTATAGCTGCACAAAAGTTTGGTATCGACTGTTACATTGATGGTTTCTTCTTTCTTTCAATAATGGCTGTTTTTTTAACATAGATAAACAGTATAATTCATGCATTGTAATGAATCATGTTTTATTGACATTTCAAATAGTTTTCTTGCTCAGAGCTATCTTTATCTGCCCTTTCACTTGTCCGTCTGGTAAAACTCTGTTTTATTCTCCAAAAACATAACGTTTTTTGCAAGCCCTCCATACAAAATAACATCTATTTGTAAAAAAGACTTTCTACACCCTAAAAGCATGAAAGACCATTCAGAAAATATCTGGAAAAAATGAAGCTTTTGTGGTAGATTCCAAACTTTTGAAGGATTGTGTGTGTGCAAAGAAGGAATTGTGAAGTATTTAGAGGCAATAAGAGAAGGCTTAATGCTTGCAGAAGTGCACTGCTTATCAGTGTTGTCATTCCTTCCATATTATATATTATTACTGCTGAAGTTTTTGAGTTTAACTTGCAGCCAAATTTGTATGTGAAAGAGGAAAAAGGAGAAAATCTAGAGAGGATTCTAATGCAAATTTATCATTTCCCGTATGAAATAATACAGGCGACATTAAAACTTCCCTCAACTTAAACTGTCTGACAGAAATTACTATTGACTTGCAAATCAAAAACTAAGCCCCAGATACCCAATCTCATCCAGAAAAAGAGAAGGTACAGAGAGAGAGAGAGAGAGAGAGAGAGAGAGAGGTTGGACATGGAAAGGAGACAGATGGGGATGGAAAGAAGTGACAGACGGAGGGACAGAGAGAAAAAGGGAAAGCAGGAAAAGAGTGCAGAGAAAGAGGGAAGACGGACAGAGCCAAAATGGAGAGGGAGAAAACGTGTTAGATAGGCAGAGTAAATTCGAGAGGGAAGAAGTGACAGAGCAGAGGATGCAGACAAAAGAGGAGGAGGGATAATTAGCCACAGTCTAGCAGCCTGACAGATCTGTTAGACCACTTTAGCTCTCATCCACTAGTGGTGGGTACTTCATTACCAGCCTGTTTCTCCCTCTTCTCCCTTTCTCCCTCACTTTCTCTCTATCTCTGTGTCTCTCTTACACTATTGGGGTGTCACTTGTCCATTCGCCCTCCCCTGTTTTGCTCATAATGTATATTAGATAGTCTTTAGCATTAGCATGATGGATGAGGAGCCTTTTTTGGCTTGTTAAATCTGTATGAGACAAAGAAAGACAGAAATAAATGTCTAATAATGTTGTCAGAGGGCAGTCAGACTGCACATGTTGGTTTTTATAGAAATTATTCAACTAAATTGTATATAACATTATATTATAAATCAGTAATTAAAATCTATCTTATTGTCAACGAATCCCACCAAAAGACCAAAACCAGCAATTAATTGATCCCACTAACAAGTACTGTCTGTGTAGACAAAGCCTGAGATGGCTTGTTCTCTCTCCATTGTTTTCTTTCTTCAGGCATTTATTTGACAGATAGTGACAGAAAATAAGAGGAGCGGGGGGGGAGGCAACATGCAACAAAGGCCTCTGACTGAAGTTTAACCGAGGATGCTGCACTTGCAGTGCTGTAACATGGTCAAAAGGGAAAAACCCTGAGGCAGGATCATACACTTCCCATCCTGATGTAAATAGTCACTAATGCACTAAATGTAGATTAATTTGCATTTGGGAATATAGTCCCCGTTAATGCATTGTATGCTCCTGTTTGAGTAATGTATGCTAAAAACAACAGCGCCCAGCTGTTAAAGGTGGAACGACATATTTGTGGCCATTTGTTAAAGATTTACTTCTTCAGGCAGGGAAGAACACATTGTTGGTTTGAGTCTTTTCATTGAATTTAAGAAAAGAATAACACAAGAACAGCACAATATTGATCTGTTTTTGTTGCTTGGTGACAATATGCTAGTTGTGGACCAATTTATTACAAATCTGGTCTTATTATTTTAGATTTTACCATACTTTCTACTGGTTATGATAACACTGTGTTATTAATTGTTGAGATCAGCTTGTCCACAAACTTGTTTGGAAGAGAAAACGAAGATGAGCATTCAAATATTACCCAAACTGTTTGTTGTAAACATCCATCACAGATTACAGACCGCCCCTGGAGTATTTTAGATAATCTGACTAAACTGTTTGCTTGTTTACAACCTGTTTGATTGTGTCACTGCTTGTTGATTAGCACAGTGTTATAACTAATTCAAGTGAAAGCCCTAAACTATGAAAACAAGCTCCAAGTAGTAATAAACTTGAACTTTCCTTTAAAAACCGTAGGTGGCCATGTCGGATGACCTCACACACGTATTCCACGGTCACGCCCATTCACATCACGCGTCCCCGCTCACACACGCTCCCTCATCGCCAGGCTATTTCCATTCGCGCTGCACCACCTGCGGCTTGGACGAGAGCACTCATTCACAGAGTTGGTGCATCTGTTAAAACACACACAGCCAGCCATGAGGTTGGAACCCCCCCCCCCCCCCCGTGCCTTTCATTCACACAGACGCACACAGACATACACACACAGTCAGAAATAGCTGCGCACACAGCCACCCACCACGTGTAATATTTCTGTGAGGATGCCCAGTGTAACCTAGCAACAATGCTGCGTGTGTGGTCCGTTGAGTTTTACACCACTGCACAAAAAGTCATAGGTGTAAGCTTATTTACTGTGTGTGTATGTGTGTGTGTGTGTGTGTGCGCATATGTGTGTGCGCATATGTGTGTATATATATACTTCTCCAATTTCAGAGTACCTTATGCTCCTATAAAGCCGTCCTTGAAAGCTCCGGCATGCAAAACTTTCATTGTTTCCAAGGGAACAACATATCTGATTCTTTCATCTTTTACATTACGCTGTTTTAATGATGCTGAGGAAGAAATGTGCTCATTATACATGAGGGATAAGGTGTGTGCCTGAAATCCTTGATGCTAATATAGCTTTATCCAAATGTTTTTTAAAGTAAGCGTGCGTGCCTCTGCGTCCATGCATGGACTGCGTGCGTTTGCATAGTTTTGCCAACTGAGACATGCTAGTGCTGCCCCCCCCTCTCCCCTCCCCTCGCCTCACTTCTCTTCCTGTCAAGGTTCTCAACAGTGGACTCCCAGCACTGTCTCCCTAATTTACTGTCGGACATTTTCATTACGCCTTCAATGGCAGGTGTGTGCCGTGATGGGCGTCACATTTGATTAGAGCTATGCTAGAGGCTGACCTGTGGAGAAAAAAGGTTAGCTATGCTTGTCAAATTTTATTAGCCAGAAGGCAGTCTTTGTAGCTGGAGCAAGAAACGGGGAGATGAGATGAAAGAGCAGTGAGAGAAAGAGAGAGGCCGAAGCGGAGAGATGTAAAGAGTCGAGAGAGGTGTGTTGGAAAATGCACCATTGTGCTAAGAAAAGAAGAGATGAAGGTGAGCTTGTAAGCTAAGACAAGTAAATGACACATCAGTGAGCATGCTCCCACATTTCTACCGTGGTTCAAGCTGCGGCACGAGCAATACATGCCACTAAGTTTACCTGACACTGTGACAAAGTCCAACTCTCAAATCGCTCTAGACAGGCTTGACTAATTCTTGAAACATTTTTAAAAAGAAGTTACAAGGTCTTTTGGGTGTAGATTTGTTGGTTCCCTTTACAGGTCCTAGTGTTGGTTTTCTTCCCTGCTTCCTTTTCTTCTCCCTGCCATTTTTGGTGCAACACTGAAGATACAGTTTTATTCCTGTATAGACAGAAAAGATGGAAAGCAAACAGCGTGAAAGAAGTGCAAGGCTGACATTATATAAGGAGACTTCCCATTAAGGCAAATGCAGAAACTCGCTTTTTCTTTATTGTGTATGCAAACAGAAAATACATCCTCTTGTTTTCTGTTGTGGATTTATTTGTCAGGCAGCACCTGCCTGAGGAAGAGCTCAAAGAAAAAGGATATGAAAAAACACATCATTAGTGCAGACTGCATATTAAGTCATTTTTGTCTTCTATGCCTTTAAAGCGTCTTTTACTGGTGCTCTATCTGAGCAATTAAAATGTTTCCTTTTTGTATTCGAGCAGCTTCCAGTTTTTCTTTTGTTCATGGTCAGTTACACAGAGGGAACTGACTGTTACTGGAAACTAGTGTTAGATTGTGAGTTAATCAAGTTTCATTTTTATGGCTGTGCACTTGTCGAATAACAAAAAACAGATACATGATGAGTAATGTGTCTGTCATATCAGATGCTGGGGTGCACAATGATCAGTGAGGCAATGGTTCCCACCATTCTTGGCTTGTTAAAATGTAAGAAATATCTGAATTGTGATCAGTAGTAACTGAAGTTTGACTTTTCCTTCTCGTTCTGTTTCATTTTCAATGCCCTGAAAGGAAAAAAACTAAAATGATTGCCTTTTTTTGTCACAGTTCAGAAAAAAATAATGATTATTTGGCGACGTTTGTTACTAATGACTTCCTTATCTAAGTCATTAGTTATCTGTCTGCAAATAAAATTTCCACAATTCCACAAAATCACGATCCACTGACTCAATTTCTGCCGACATGCGGGGCAATAATTAGAGCCAAATTACTGTACTATCGAGCCACCGTGTTTAAGAGGCATTACACCAATTTTACACATGAAGATCAGTTTGTTCGTCATGGGGAGTGCCACTCAGCCAGTGAAAACCAGCTGTGCATCAGGAGATCCTCTGTGGTAAATTCTTCATTACTTTATTAGTCGCTTAATCGATTAGTTGTCTATTAATCGTTTTGAGATTCAGTGAAAACCTCTTTGTTTTCCCATCGAGCTCCACTGACTTTCTGTCCGACTCTATTCCCAGTACTGTACCAGGAAACCAAACATTGACCGTGCGCTTTGATGTCTGCTTACCTCCAGCATACAGGCAGCAAAGGGGAAGAAAGAGAAAAAAACCTGCCTGCCTGAGCTTTTTCCCCCAGTGTGTTGTGTTTAAATCAGCTGGCCACAGCAAGAAGGAGTCGCCAAACCAGCCGGCGGCGGCGCACACTTCCTAATTAGTCTGCCCCCACACTGGCTAACACCACGGGATAGTTGCTTTTCTCACACACACACACTCTCTCTCTCTCTACCGCTCGCTTTCATACAGCAGGCGGTTTTGTTCTCACTCCAGTTCCCTTGCTCTTCTCTTTCACTCTTTTCCAAGTTCGCTTCGCCGTCTTTGCGCCGCTGTTTGGGTTCCTGCTCTCATTCTGTCTTCTGATGCGTCTTTCATTTCCTGCTCCTGTGTCTCATCTCCTCCCTCTCTTCCTCCTGTCCCCATCCTCCTCCAGTGCGTCTTCTCTCGGCGCGCTCAAACATCAACCTGCATAGTCAGATACTCTGAAATATGGATGAAATATGATACTTGAAGGGAAAAACACATCTTACTTAAGTGGTATCAATTCCTGTGGTTGAGCTTTTCTAGCAAAATAAGACTTTATTGATTTATTGATTAGTTGTGGTCTATTTACATGTTAGACACTTAGATAATGCCCTTATGAATTTACAACACCTCCATACATCATATAAGAAACATTTGTGTCAATAAAATCAATCCTATCCTAGTGCTGTGTTCTTGTTGTGTACTTACGGCAAAATGTTTTTTCTCGACATAACACATAATCAAGTTCCTCGATGACACAGTCTTATATCACACTGCTCGACTGAGAGTAGTGTAGATCACTTAGATCGGTTGTGTTTGTGCAACTGGCCTCAGGCCTGCAGACAGGCAATCCGCAGCAGTTATTAGCTGCTGATGACAACAGGGGAGCCTACCTGTCTCCCTCCAAACACCCACACACACAGACACACACACACACATATAGGACAGGACACGCAAATGTGTGTGTTCTTACACAGGCGCATACACACACTCGCGTATCCCTCGCTCCCTCCTCTGTCACTGTTTGGAAAGCAGGCTGCTGAATTGTCAACCCATCAAACTGCTACTCAACAGCCACCCCACCCCCCCTTCACCTACCCCCCAATGTTTTATCCAGAATCAGCCTCAGTCTTCAGCCATTAATATGATAATATTTGGCGTTGTCAGTGATGGAGGCCGCGGCATAATGAGATAATTACAGTGTTGTTTCATTTGGAGAGCGACACGCACGCTCAATCAAAATGGCAGCCCTAATTACGGGCCCAGGGATTGGCTAATGGCTTCGGTAGAAGAGGGGTGGCGTAAAAAAAAAACCTCAACTTGGCTCCGTGCATCCATTCTCTGAGGGTCCGTTTGTTTGTTTGTTTGTTTGTGTGTGGAGTGGGGCTGGTGGGCGGTAGAGGCTAAGTAAGAGTAATAAAAAAAAAAGCGTGTAATAAGCGAATAAATAAATAATACAAGACATTAGGTGTGAATATCTTAACAGCAAGGTTGTCTGCAGGACGCAGCACTTGAGGGGGAAACAGAGATTAGTATTGATTAGCTGTGTGTTGAAACCAACCATTAAACCAATCTCAAGAAGCAACAATTAGCACAGTACTGGGTCTAACGCCACCTCAGATATCCATCTTTATAAAACAGAAGCATCTGCACCAGTGCAACAAGAACTTCTTGAAAGTTCCTTCCTCATGGCAGCGAGTCAGGATTGAGCTGTGTGTCCTCACCGTCGACAGGGATTCTGCATTGAGGGGCACGCGCACACACGTTTCGTGCAGAATAATAGCAACGCTTTGCATATCAACGTGATGGCAGAAGAGAAGTGTGTGTGACTCAGCTCTCCGTCCCCACTGAGTTGGATAAAAGGCGGCCTGCATTAAATCAGAGTACGTATATACCCAGGCACTGTCACAGTGTGTCCCACATAGCAAATTACAAGGATTAACTATGCACACACAGAAACACACACTTTTATACATTCCTGAGGTTGTCTTCACACACAAACACACACTCAGAGTCTCAGCCAGATTTTCTAATTAAAGGCTGGGTCGCAAGAGAGACTTAAACATGTAAGCTATGTACTCCACTAATGAACCTCTCTATCTGCTCTCTGTCTCTCGCCCGCTCTCTCTCTCCTTCGCTCCACTTCGGTCAATATCTGCCCGGAGGTCAGACCATTAGAATGTGAGGCGCAACGCCTGTTTGATGAAGGCTGTGCATGGGTGTTTACGGGTGGGACAAAGGCCTGCCTTGTGTGTAGTTGTAGTTGTTCGGGGCATGCAGGAGGAAGGGTGGAAAGTTTTTGGGTTTTTTGGAATTATTCTTTTTCCTCTGTTTGAATATTTTTACAGTGTGTATCTCCCAAAGACGAAATAGCAAACGAACAGCATATCAGTGTCAATATTAGATACCTGTTTCCAATGCAGGCAGTAAACACAGATAAACGACAGCACTGTGTCATACTTTGGTTGCACATCCTGAAGGATTATGCTCAGTCAGACGCACGATTTTTCCTTTTGTGTGTGTGTGTGTGTGTGTGTGTGTGTGTGTGTGTGTGTGTGTCTCTCCATCTCCATATGCTTGTTTATGTGTGCTCAGCTCTGTACTCTCAGGTGTATGTGTAGCTTATCTTGCAGTAAGGTCCAGTGAGCATGATGATGTTTCTCTTTAAGTTTTGTCCCCATTCTGTCCCGAGTTCTTATCTCTTCACTGGCAGTCGCCTTTTTTTCCCCCATTCTTTTTTAATTTTTGTTGTTATTCTTCTTTTTCTCTGTCTGCAAAGGTCTGGTTCAGCAGGATCATTTGGGTGTTGACTCGTCAATGTGTCTGTCTGTAGTTCTATTGAGGAGAGCGTTGCATTCGTCTATGTGACTTTTAAGTGAAAAGGAACATCCATCAAATGTTTTTACACAGTTTTTTGTTCCTTTTTTTCCACTTTAGTTTTCTCTGTCAGCTGTAGAAAGTTCAGTTCAGGCACTGATGTCTTCTCCGAGGCAGTACTTTGTGGATATTATCTGTCTACCTGTCAGTCTTCCTGCCCTGTCAAGGGTTGTCACTGCGAGGCAGAAGAATATCGGTGGATTTAACAAAGAAGGAGGCTGAATGCACCATGTTTCACCTGGCTTTTTCTTTGCTTTCAATTCCTGTGGCGAGAATTAGACTGTTTATCCTCTAAAATGAGCGAACAACATCTTTAGATCGTGGAATTAGTTTTGGAAAATCATTGAATAGTTATGGGATTTAAAGTTAAGGCCATGATGGGAACCCTTGTCTACCTAAACCTTTGAGATTTAGATAATAGCTTCTCTCCGAACACCAGCCACCAGCCATTATTTACACCTCCCTCCCTCTGTGTCTCTCTGCAGTGATCGTCTCCAGGGGTTGCGCAGGGAGTACCAGCAGGCCCGAGCCGCTCCAGGCTACGAGGAGCTTGACGCTGCACGACGCCGAGTCCTGGACCATGACCCAAACCGGGTGAGTGTGCACGCCTGTGGGTGCGCAGCCTAGAAATGGCCAGTTTTTGGTACCAGGAAATAAGTTTGCAGTGAGCACTTGTTTGTTTCTTGCCCTAAACATCCATGAAAAATGATATGAAATGACATGTGCCACAGCAAGACCCACACTGGACACTACTTTCAAAGATTGAATTGTTAAATGAAGGAAATATGTGTGTATGTGTCTCCAGAGCCACTCCAGTGTTCCTGTGAGCTCAGCCTGTTTTCCCCTGTGCCTTTCTAGGGCTATTTTCAGCTCTCTTGTTAACATTTTGAGGTGCTGTGTGCCACCGAGGCGGCGACTGCTCTCCTCCTCATTTAGTTTATGGAGAGATCTATTAGACCAGTGACATTTCCATCCACCCTTTCCTTTAGCTCTCTTCCACAACCTTCTCTCTTTGCTTCTCCTGGATCCTATTACTTTTCCATTTTTCCTTTTCCTCCCTGATATTGTTGTCTTCTTTCCCTCTTCTTTCTCCTTCTTATTTTGGCAAGAACAACAATAGCCTGAAATCTCTCACTGTAGTTGCCTCTCCTAACCAAGCTGCACTGCTAAATGTCCATGAACCTGTATTGATCCAGCCTGAGGAATCATTTCATTCACCTCCGTACACTCCCGAAGTCAGCATACTCACCATGGAAATCAATAGCCATTTATCAGCCATTTTAAAATGGGATTTTTTTAATAGCGAGCCCAAGGATGCAGAAAATCACACTTTGATCCAAATCAGAATCACTGAATCTGGCCGCAGCAGAGGCATTTCTTCCGAGCAAGACTTCTTTTTCATTAAATGACACAACTGAGCAAAGACAGGGGCAGAGGCATCTGGGAAATATGGGATGGATTTACTGACAACATCGCCAATACCCAATCACCTGACACAACCTGCCTCCTGCTGTTCTCGCTTGCTCGCTTATTGTTGTCTCTGTTTATTGAGCAATGAAATCCTGTAAACCAGTCTTCATTAGGCGCTCCCAGACACAAACCACGGCACCTTTCTTTGTGGCCCGGAGGGCTTCGTCACTCATTACACATCCCTGTGCGGAATGTGTTTCTGCCTTGGTTCGCCGTGACTCAGCCGGTACCGAAACTCTGATGCAATTAAAGCGCAGCGAGCGTGAGGCACAACCTCTGATCTGATTGTTGTTTTTCACCAAAAAAATGACAGCGGTGTCCACGGTAAAAACCAGCAGTGGGTTCCTCCCCTGAGGAGCTCGATAATGAAACACCCCACTCACAATCACACACACTCACACACATACATAGTGAGAAAAAGAAACACTAAAACTGTAGAACATCTAAGAAATAATATTGGTTACAGAAAGAAAAATAGAGAAGATGATAATGGAATATATTGAAACACAACAGGATGGCTGAATGACTGTGACAGAATATTTTAATTGAACAACTGAAAGTGAAGGAATACTGTAGTGTAAGTGTAAACACTTCAGGAAGAGCAACAGAGGAAGGGGTCCCTCTTCCTGGACGAACAGATGTAATAGATGTCATGTGTGCAGAATGGATCAGCAAAAAATCAGAATATATGTAGATTGTAAAACATAAGTGAAGTGTAGGAGCCAGGAGGACATTGAGCAGCTTTGGGTTTTGCCAGACAGGTAACACAACCTCCTCTCATCCATGGAGACCTGGAAGTAGGACAGGCCACACAGTACAGCATTCACACAGGTAGGAGAGACAGACAACACAGCACACATACAAAGTAGGGAGAGAAGAGGAGAGGCTGAATCTCCTGGGGGACGATGATCCAGATCCAAACGTCTGGATGAAGCACCGACAGCCAGGAGAGAGAGAAAGAGAGGTGTTCCCGGTTGGCCGATGGTCCAGCAGAGAGGACCCTTAGTGAAAAGAGAGAACGAGGAGAAAACTAGAGAGAGAGAGATGCACACGGCTTAGCGGCTTGCGGGATACACAAGAAAACAAGAAATGCAGTGGCTGTCAGAAGTTTACAGTTTGTTGATTTGTTGTTGGCAGGACAAACATGAACCATAAATACTAAAGTTAATAGAGTCATTGAGAGACTGAGATAGTAACTAGGACAAGGCCTGAGGTAGCAAAGGCTGAGCACTAATTCAGAGTTATGGTGAAAGATGGGTTTTTTGCTTAGATTTAAAGGCCTCAACAAAGTCAGACTGTCAGATGAGAAAAGGCCCTGCAGCCAGCTGACTTCTTTTTAACTCTGGGAACAGGCAGGACATCTGTATTCTGAGAGCACAGAGTACGGGATGAGATATAAAGTATAATGAGATCAGACAAAAGAAAAGAGATCATTTACAATTTTATAAGTCATCAGAAGCACCGAAAAGTCTGTTCTGACATGGATAGGAGGCCAATGAAGTGAAGCTAAAATTAGTGTGATATGGTTAGTTTTAGTTAAGATTAGACTTACTAACATGTAATCAAAACAATAAGGTAATCAAGTCTGAATGGAAAAAAATGAATTAAGATCTCTGCATCAGCCATGGACAGTAAATATCTCATTTTAGCTATGTTTCATAAATGGAAAATAGCACCGCATTAATGTTACTTGGTCAAACTGGTGTTTATGTCGAGCAGGGCCAAATACCAGCATCTCAGTTTGAAGAGCAGGAAATTACGTGACATCTGGGATTTCACTGTGGCTAAACAAGCCTCTAGATGAAATATTTGAGAATAATCTTAACCGTTTACAGGCACATACAGGTCAGCATAGCAGTGAAAATGTATTCCAAAACTGTGTATAATTTGGCCAAGAGGTAAAATGTATAAAGATAACAGCAGAGGGCCAAGAACGGAGCCCTGAGGTACTCCATAGTTCACATCAGAAACCACTGATTCTTGTGAATTTCTTGCGTTTTAAGTTTTACTTTGGGAGACCTAATACTTGGTACATCTTTACTAAAAAGAACACTGTCAGTCATATCTTTGTTTGATTTGCTTAAAATTATGTTAAAATTACATATTACCAATTGTAAATCAAAATAAATGTTTCCCCCTTCCCCGAAAAACAAGCTGAAGCTTTTATATGGGGTTTCTTTTGGCCTTTGGTAGTGTCTGCAGTCTACACACACACACACACACACACACACACACACACACACACACACCCTGTAGAGAGATGACCACTAAAAGAGTAAGCGGAGACATGAATAGATTTTCTTACCACAGTCTGAGCTTTTGTCCTCGTTTTTGTCAACTGGGATTGAATGTGTTACCCAGAGTCATCTCTCTCTGCCGATGAGATTGACAGACATATGACACACATTTAAACCTCCTTGATCTAAACTAACACTACTTAGAGTCACTTTTTAGGTTGCATGAGAAAATATTGTATATTGTTCTATATCTGTGTATGTACAAGACTAAAAAAAGACATATAATTGGTGCTGTTGTGTTTTTGTTGGTGGTTGTTTCCCTTCAGGTGGAGTTTCGATTCACCGGCAAATTTCTCCACACACATTTACCTATTTTCTCTCTCTGTGTGGTATGAGAAGAGCATAAATGCAGACCACTTGAGCGCTGCACTCACTCACTTGCTTCGACCTTGTGTGATCAGCCTTTTAGCTGCCGCCTCCACCGCAACCACCACCACTGTGCCGTGCTGCTCTTTTATACTCAGCCATTTCTGTAGCCATGAATGGTTAAAAAGGTTTTCCAGGCTCTCCACACAAGGCCAGGAGCACCATTCTCCCCCTCTCTGAGTGGTTTATGTGTGATTTAAAGAGAAGATGAGTGTGTTTGCGTGTGTGTGTGTGTCTCCATTTGCTCTCTTGGGCTAGAGGATCCTGGGTAACACACTAACCTGAGCTGACATAAACAAAAGCAGGGATAAAAAAACTGTGGTAACGATATCTATTCATGTCTCTGTTTATTCTTTCCACGGTTGTCTATCTACATGATTTGGAGGTTGGAATTGTGTGTGTCTGTGTGGGTGTGTGTGTCACTGGCTTTGATTGTATGTGTGTGCGCAACTAAATCTGGTCTTCAGAAAGGACTTCATGTTCCTTCCTCATTTCCCTCCTCTGACCGCTCTCCCTCTGTGTCTCTGTCTTTCTATCCATCTCTAATTTGACCCTTCCCCCATGTTCCCTGTCTGTGGATAGGTCACACTTGTAATTATAACAATCACACTGTCCCCTCTCTCTGTCAGTTTTCTCCATATGCTAATGATAGGCTCTCTGTAATGTCTTGATGGCCAATTAAGCCACCAAAGTATATGAGCAGTTTCTCTTTATAGGCTTCTTTGTTCTATAAGATAAGTCGGGAATAACTTTTTACATGAGACGCCACATTGTTGTCATAGAGACTGATGTTGATGTAGTTTTTGACTCAGTGTTTCCATAACTGATGGCAGTAGTTGAATTATTCAATGTGACCTTTTAAAAGAACACTTAGTTTCATGAAGGTAGGGGTCTCTTGTTAGGGAGACTGGTTAGAAAGGATCGAAATCGATGCAGCAGAGGCCGAGATACACGTCTTTTAGTCCCTGTGGTGAAGCTCCAGAATAGCTGGATTCTACATTTCCCACAATGCAACCAATAGAATATTTTCAATAGATCCTCCCTGCCCCTGTAAAGACACATCTTTTTAGCTTCACATCTTAGTTTGCAGACTTTCTGTTACTGAATTAATGCGTTGTCCCCCAAGCTTTCAGAACAGGGTCTCCAGTCCAATCAGGGTCGGGTAGGATCCTGTTGGGTCTCTGGTGGATCCAGCGGGGTCACCATCAACTCTGATCATGCGGTTGCGATGTAATCATTACAGAGGGAAAGTGTGCTTTTTGACACGAGACACAGGAGAGTGTGAACTGTCAAATGCAGGAAAAATGGCATGTGTCGCTTCTCTTTTTCCGACCGCGGCTGCTCCCTAATTGGTGACATCATGCCGGCGCCAGTGTTGGTGATTTTCATATTCATGTGTAAAATTGGTGGACTTTCCCTTTGAAACTGTTTTCCCTTTGAAAATCTTTACATTATCCACCC